TACACCCAAAAGCATTCATCATAATTCTGCCTATAAAGGACACTGAGAAAGAAAAGATATGTTGGTCTAGGGGAAAAATCAGTATTTGATAGGGCTGTCTTATTCATCCTGCTGATTTTTATTGGGCAAACAACTGAAAGAGAACATTTTAATACAAAGGAGACAGAAGTTTGTTTTCAATGATGAATAATACAGTCATTCTCATATGTACTCACATAAGTACTAACACTTCAAAACAATTAAGCTGTTCACTGAACAGAAAAAACAATTCTGTAGTGTTTTTCGCAATTGAAGTATGATTGGCAGAGTGCAAAACAATGATTGTTTCATCATTTGAAGAAAGGTTTAAAGAAGGTGCAAATGGTTCTTTTAATTATTGTTTATTAATATTTACCAAACAGTACAATCCCTCTATTTATTAAATACAGTGAATATTCTATGTCTAGTTGATTATAAAAAGTTTTGCTTTAGTGCCGTAATTTTGTCTGTTATGTTTTACAAGTGTTACAACTGATGGCAGCAAACCCATAATACATATTCACATTCCCCTGCTAACACTACTGAATTGAGCATTTACATTTCATATTGGGGCATTAAACTAAATCACCTATATAAGTGTTACAGAATCAGAGATTTCATGCCTTAAATTAAGAGACAAAGTTCAAGGTGTACCTCAAATGAACACAGCTGTGAAGCCAATGTGATAGCTAATAGAAATTCAAGGCTGCTCAGTAAGCCCTGCTCATTCTTTGTGGTTTTCCATTAATGATAAAAAATACCATGTAAAAGACAAAAAAAGGCATTACTGGGGCTTGCACTCAATGTGAGCTGCCTGCTTAAGAGAAAAGGATATTGTGTTGAGTTAGACATAGCAAATAAACAGAACGGCAATTTAAACTACTACCTTCTGTACCACCTTCTGATTTTTCTCATTTTAGGTAAATAACCAGATCAACAATGTTTAACCAAGTTCTGGTTGTTTTGTTGAGTTTTTGTAAAAAGTTATTAGAGGTGAAACAGAGGACACTATTCCAGAGGACGTAAGAGCAGCATCTGTGGCCCTGGATTCAGTATTCTCAGCTGTACAGATAACAGTATAAGAGCATCGGATGCAATCAAAAACACACTACAGTTGCAGTTTGAGGTAGTGCAAGTATGAGGGCTAGTGCTGGGAGTGAAAGGACATCACACCTGCTGCATTTTAATGGGGCTTGCAGTTGTTTTGCAGAAAGTGATGTATAACAGTCACGTTACCCACTGTCAAAGCCTAGTCAGACACCTGAACCTAGAAAGGTGTCAGACATTGAGTCTCCTACTCAACATGAGCCTGACAGAGGTAGACGTGCAATTTTACCAAGCAGTAGTCAGCAGTAACTTCAGACACCTCCATTATAGTTATTAAAATCACAATTCCAGTCCTACAAATGGATTTGTCTGGCAAGGAAAAAGAGGCAGAAGAGTAAGAAGAAGGATATTTGAGGCTTTGGGTTTCAAGTTCACGTGTATATGTGCACCATTATCTATCCATCCATTTTTTAGCTGCATTTTCTGGGAATTTCTAAGATTAGTGTTATTGCAAAAGCCATTCATAGCAATTGATTGTTTAAAAACAGATGCATTTTGTCAGAGGAACATCTAGCATATACGTGCTGGATGCTCCTAATGCTTTTAATTATTGTGGGGTAAACCGAACAGTGAAGTCTAAAACATCCATATTCTATGGGTTTTTCTTTAAATATTTTCTCCATACACTACAAGGGAAGATGTTAATCATATACATCTTTTGTGTCATTTAGCCATGATGCATTCCTAATACTCCCTCCCACGGACAAATGCTGAATTTACACTCTCATACAGTAATATTTATTCCTGTACATCTAGGCCTGGAAAATGAGCATAGTAAAGAAAGTCCAGCACGCTTTTCTCATAAACCCTGTGAGAAGGGAACTAGGTATTTATCGGGAAAAGGAACATATTCCCATTTTTTTCTCTTTTCCAGAACTGTAAGGGAGAGCAAATAAATCAGAGAAGGAAAGAGGCTGAGCTCTGCTTGGATCCAGCTAGCAGAGAGCAAAACTCTTGTCTCCTGCAGTCAAATAAAGTCCACCTGAACAAGTTTAGAAAAGCCAGTAGCTCCCCTACTGCAATGGGCCTGGTCACCATTACAGCTTCCAGTTGTCTGAGGAGGCCAGGGAAAGGGGGTTGGCACATCCCATTCTAAAAGAAAGGTGCCTGAAGGTCTTTACCATATATTTAGCTAGTCTTCTCCTAAAAGGCTCTCAGGAGCAATACAGAGTGCAAGCTATTCCTATTATGTCATGCTTTGTGACTATAAAGGAAGTGGGCACCTGGTAGGTGATCTGATGGCCAGGTTCTCCCACAAGAAAATATCCTTTACATGCAGAGCATATTTAAAGATTTACAGATTAAAAGATTGGAATTATCTAGGCTTTGAGGGGAGGTAAGTTATAAAACAATTAAATCTCTAAAAGACAAGATGGGAAACTCTATTTTTACTTAATTTTGTCTGATTTACTCCATCATTTTTAAGGATTATAGTTTGGGGCCTATTAGCTAGAACAGCACTTTCATTTAGTGAGGTGTTTAATATTTAATGTTGGCTTTCCTATGCTATATGCATTGTAATAATGTATGGGTAAAATTAGTTTAATCTAGCATATTTTGAACCTGGTGAAAATGCCAGAAGGATCATACTGGAACTATAACAGTAGCAATAGCATCTGTGGAAGGCTGAAATACAGTGTTATGCCTAAGAAGAGTGTTTGCAATAGCTCATGCTCAAAAAGCCATCCAGATAGGGAAAAAAGCAGCAGAAATAATTTCAGGTGGAAAATGAACTAATAAATATTACACAGCCTTTCTCTAGCTTTTTTTCCCCCAGAGATTATGATGGCAATTAGGACAGTATATGCTGTTATTTTTATATTGCCTATGGATGCCAATGCTATATGCTCAACTGGGTTGTTCAATTCTTAAAAAGCATTATGTTCAAATCATGCATTTGAAAGAGGTTTTCTGTTAGAACTACATCAAGTGAAAGCCTTATTGCTGGCTTAAATGTAATTCAGTTCATCCTTGTTCTGTCATGAGGTTTTTTATATACCTAAGGGGAAAGAAATGAAAAAAAAAATTAATAAAAACATTAGTCATCATGAGGTTTTTTAATATCATCAGCTTACCATAAAGACATCTGATAAATTGCATACTATTCACAAGAAAGAAATAGTATGAAATTAGTATTGCATTACTGTAGAATAGTCATAGCCCTGGATTGCTGTTATTCTATGGAAAATAAAAGCTTGACTATTTCAGATTTTACAGTTTCTTCTCAGTGTTTAACATTATTTGCATTGAGAGGCAAATAAAAAGCCCATTGTACTGAACGAAAACCACAAAATTTTGGACTGATGGGGTTGGTAAATTTTTATCATTGTTTCTAAACAACAGCAAAGAAGCATTGATGACTTGGATCCAGATGGTTAGCAGTAATGCCTCACAATAGTAACCTAATGAAGCTTTTTAGTGCTGGTGACAGGTAAATGCTTCAAAGGTTTATGGCATGGAGAAAAAGCATCAATAAATAACTTGAAAATCTGCCTCTCTTCTAGCTTACATAATTGTTGCTTTTTATAATGGCATAATGGAACAGGAAAGCATGCGTGAAAAAAAAGCTAGAAAAGAGGAACTCTCTTTGGAGCTAATAGGATAGATATATAGAGGGAAAATTTTTTACTTCTAAGATGAATAGCTACTTAACACCCATTAGGCATCTCTCAGACTTAGCAGAAGAATTTAATGATCTTTCTGATCATTAGGTCTGTCTAGAGATCAGACTTAAAATAGAGGAGATGAAGATTTTTCTCTGTGCAATTAGAGAACAATAGTTTCAGGATGCTTTAAGTGAAAGCAAAAAGTTCTCAGATCTCTCACATGAGCTTTTCTCGCTAATGCTGGTTAACCATGAAGAGCACAACCAGAAATCTGGTGCTCTCTTTGCAATACTGGGACACACACACACACACACATACACACATACACACACTCACAAACAACTTGGGTTGAAATTTCACTTTTAAAAAAGAAATATTCTTCTTTTGTTAACATTTTCTACTGTCAGTTTTCCAAACAGATGTGATTAGGAAAGTGGTGTCAATTTTCACGTGGGTGGGTGGAGCTGACTTGCCTTAAGCTCCCCTTCAGCATCACTGAATGCCTAGTAGAAGCTGGTAGCAGTAATGTGTCACATAGCAGGACTCAGATATTTAGATGCAACCTGCCTCCAGCCTCTGCTGGAAGAATGACTCTCAAAATATGTTGGCTAACACTGGATTTTTGCAGTTTCACACTGTGGCTGGTAAAGTAACAAAAAAATCAAAGGATATACAATTAAGGCCTACAGCATGTACACAAGAACAATAACAAAATAGGTAACATCAAAAGGGAAGCTGCTGAGGAAAGATCCATCAATCTGGTGACTATAGGCATTGACACAGTCAATGGAAATGGAGTAAGGTATATAAATAGCATGATGGGACTGAAGCAAAAATTCTACATGCAATTTATTTAGATTGAATGCTATTATGCAAATAGAACATTTCATTGCAAAGCAGCTAAGATACATTATTCTATTTCCTGCTGCTAAAATAGAAATTATTCAGCAGTTGTTTGCATAGCATTACTGAGGGGAGGTATACTTCATCCTTAACAGCTCTTACTTGATTTGCTGTTATTATTTTGGGCCATACAGTCTAACTTTGGACTGTTGCACAGCCCTGATTGTCCACTACTGCAGGAACACTACTTTTCTTTTAGCTTTCAATGGTTTAAGGTGGGAAAGTCTGATAGGTATCAATATTTGACTGATTTGGGAAAAAGTCAAGTCTTCCTTGCTCCTCACCCCAGCTGTCTTGGCTTCTATTTGAGGTTCTGCTGGAAGAAATTCCATGCGTCCATATTAAAACCAACGTTTCATTTCTCAGTTTCTACAGATCAAGTGATGAGATGTCACGTGTGAACCCCCTGAAGGCTGAGAAGAGAAACTCTGACTTCCCCAGAGAAAATGGTGAACTGCAGTTTCTTACTGGCTAGCAACACCTTTGATTCAATTTGTATGAAACTCAATTTACTTATTAAAATGGACGTTATTGTTCAAATATTAGAAACTCCATTTCTTATATGTTCTAAGCTGTACAATTGTCAGATTTTTATGGTTTAGATTGTAAATGTGGTTTTCTCTGGCTAATTATTGGTATTATTTTTTTAATTTTGATGTCTTAAAGGCCAATGTACTGTATCATAATAATATGAAGGACATATTTAACAGGTGTGGAAAACACTGTATACAAATGTATATTTCTAAAAGCTATTTTTATGATTAGCATGTTTTACTGTTTTACCATATTTAAAGTCAGGCGATATAGCACTCCATTATTTACCACTTAATTCAAACAAGACCATTGTGATCAGTGTCACAATTAAATACGTTGTATGGTATTTTCCATTATTTTATTTATTTGTCACCGGAAATAATTACATTTAGTAACAGGATAGCTGCTAAAAAGTAAATGTGTCAAAATAAGAGAGCAATCCTTGATAAACTGTAAATTGGATCTTCCTGGAAATCCCTTTCTTCATAAACACTCTCTGATGCCATTCATCACACAGTTGTTACAGCTGTTCCTGAAAATCTCTAACAGCAGTTTGGTTTTGCTATATGGAAAGTTTACATGACAGTCAGTCTACTGTCTAGCCAGGAAAAGTACTTATAGCCCAACAATATCTGACAACCTGAATTAGCCTACTTACCACTTTTTGGTTTATTTTCTGGCAGTAGTATTTCCACTCCCAAACCCCTAAAGCCCTCCAAAAAGCCTGCAGTTGGAATAATTAAATATTACAGATGTAGTGGGGGGAATCTCAGTATAGATTTTCTTAATAAATCATATTTCTTTTCATACAGAACGGATGCATTTTTTCTCGTGTTACTAAGATATTAATGGGATCAAAGCATACATGATATGGGCACAAGGTCTTCTTCTCTGATGAAAGCACCAATTTCTTCACCATCCCAAAATCAGATCTCCTTAGCACTGCAGATGACATGAAACAAGGAATACGTATTTGTTCATCTACACCTTTATGTGAGAAATACTCCGATAGAAAGAGACGTGTCTTTAAAGTGATTTCAGGAGAAATAAATTATTTCGCAGCTACAGCCTTCCAGGAGGGTGAGCCATTAATTTAGGAAGCACCTTACGCAGTCAGATGGAGCTCAGACCCTACCATGTACCAGTATGCAGCACAGAGCCCTGATATCCATTGATATCCATGACCAGGGGTATTTGGGATCATCCAGCACTACCAAGATGAACCCTTGCCTTGTCCTTTCAATTGTTCTCTGCAGGCTGAAAGCACGAGAAAATAAAGGTACCAGAGAGACTCTTTAAAAGATCAAACTTTAAATTTCTATTTAAAAAAGCAGTTTCTGAGATGATAAGTTCACCTCAAATAGTGAGGGTATGAGAAGGTGGGAGCTCCAGATCTCTGGTCAGGTTTCCAGTGTGGGGGACCATCATCAAAGAAGGACTGATATTCTTCAAAAATTTGGAATAAAAACATACATTTGAATTTATTTATCTGTTACTCAGTGGGAATTTTATTCACTAGGAGATTATGTAACGTAGCACTTTAAGTTATGTTTGTATACCTTATATTTAGCTTGTCTGTTGTCTGTGGAGTTGCACAGTTTACCTAAAAGCTGAGTAGCACCTAGCTACTTAATTAAGGAAAGAATAGTATAAGTAGTTATACCTGAACATAAAGAATTGCAGCTGCAGAATTCACCAAGACTGACTCTCCCAGAGAAGTACAGGAAAAAATATTACTTCCATGTAAGTGAAATGTTAGGTCAAATCACAGGGTGAAATATTTCTCCACTTTCTATCTATTAATACAGGTTATGATCATTTTTCACTGTAAAAATGCAAAAAGAACTGGCATTTTGGGATCTACATCTTTGGCTGACAGTTATAAAAAAGAACGTCATACCTTAGCAGCTCAAGGGGCATTTTGCCCATTTCAATCATATAAAGTGTTGGCTTACTTAAAAGATATAGAATGTCATCCAAGGGGATCAGTTCTGGTATTGGTGTTAACAAACTAGATACGAGAAACATCTAGGTATATTGTCTCCTCACCAGCTCCATTCCAAAAGTGCTAATACAGATAGAAAGCACTCTTAGATTTCTACACATTCTTTACAATCATTACCCTTAGATTATAAACTCACAGAAATGATTGCACATTCTTAATGTTGGCACTGTTTCACACCACAGTTTAAGTCCTGAATATATTTTGAAGACAAATAGACACCTCTGATAACACCGTGAGGCACTACTTCATTTGCAAGCCTGAAGCTAGAAGCTTGTATTCCCATGCAGTCAATTACTAGCAAGGTTTCTCAATGGCATGTTTGCTTAAAATCACTACAGAGGATGCTGGTAGCGCCAACAGAGCTTGATCGTTCTCTACTCTTCTTGTATGCGGTATGCTCGGTGTTGTTTGCCATCACTACCTGTACTTGTTTACATGAGTTTTGTCAGTTGTGAGATTTTTTAACATTGCTTATTCCTTCCAATATGGAAGAAGAGGAAACATAAAAGGTCTTGTCAATCAGTTTGGATAGTCAACAGTCTCATAAAATCCTTTATGGACAGTCCTGAATCAAAACAATTCATTTTCTAGACAGACCTATATGGTCTGTGTATTTCAGATATTTGTTTCAAACCTGTGCAGCTGCATGAATGGAAAATATTTACTAAAAAGCTTTAAAGTTTGGATCAAGAAAAAATATTTTTACTTTTGTAAACTCTTGTATTACATATTGTTGCAGTTCTTATTAGTTTTCTCTGTAGATCCATTTTTAGTTCTAAAAAATCACTGTACTTAAACTATGTAGATAGCTACGATCTTGTAAGCAGTCATATTTTTAATTGGTGCCACTGCAAGTTAGAATTAAAACATTCAGGGTTTGCCCATGTAGAGAAGATTGATGGTTCATTACAGTTTTCATTAAAATGTTGTAACATAATTTTTACATGTCTGTAAATAAATATTTTCTCTGATTTATGCACTAATTCAGTTTTGCAATTTCTTCTCTTAAAATGTGACTCTAAAACACCTGCCAGGAAAAATGTATTTCTCTCTCAGAAAAATACCACTTAAAGCTCTTTAGTAGAACCATCCTTCACAGACTTCCCAAACAGACTAAAGAGAAAGAGGCATCCACAGTATCAAGTACTTAAGTAAGTAAAATGGCGACAAATGTTGTTAATCCTGTTACAATTTTAACAGTTTGAGAAATTTAAGCACCTGTCCTGTGTTAAAAAATGACAGAAGAAATGTGACAAACTTCCTGAAAGGAGGGAATTCTTAGTGAGGTGAGAAAGAGAAGGAGGCAGGCAGAGTGGGGATATTTCATTGAATTTGAGGAATACATTTTCTTAATCTTGGAAGCTTCTAAATTTCATGTATCACTAAAGCAGTATGAACACAACTTATGGAAACCACGTTAAGAATAGTTATTGTTTTCTGTTCCATCTCTAAATACATTTTTTATTCATAGTTTCCTATTCCATTCAGAAGGTGCTGCTATGCTGGGAAACTAAGAAAAATTGGTCCATAAAGTCTATGAGAATGTTTGTAAACTACACTGGTATCACTGGGAAGCAAGACTATTTTGCAATGTATGTGATTTATACATTATTCATAATTTTCTACATTTCTAAGTGTATTGTCCTAACTATTACAGCTATGCAAGCTTTTGCACAAGTTTGTGACATTTATAAACAACTTACTCTTATTATGTATGATACAGGGCCAATTACTCACTCAGAAAGAACCCTACTACAGATTAACTAGTAGCTGATGAAAATAATTTCTAATTCCTTTTTAGTAGAGAAGGTAGTCTGAGAGCTGTAAAAGTCTCCATATGCCATGTTCAGGGGAAATCTCACTAGTCTAGAAAATTTAAATGAGGAATATATGTGATTTGAGAGGAAAAAGTATAATAAAATAAGATTTCATGTACTTATCTGTCCAGATCTTATTTAATAAACATTATTTAAAAAATCACTTTGATAATTTTAAATTCTGTATTGGCTCATACTGGCCATGAGGGCAATTATTACTGAAATTAAGGCATCAATTAGCCAAGCATAAGCAAGAAAAACATCCTACAGCGTTAGGTGTATAAAACATCAAGCAACCTAACACTTTATGGTCAATGGAACAATATACTACAAATATTATTGGAACTGAGAATTGCTTCCTTCTTTGCATGATTAGTAACAATGCATGCAAAATAGAATTTATGTAATAATGGGTTATATTTAAGTAATTTTTGATTTGATTATATGAAGCACATTGAATCATAGAATTGGGTTGGATGGGACCTAAAAGATCACCTGGTTCTTGGTTATGGCACCAGTCCAGTAACTATTTGTTGATTTGTCCGATTCACTTAGCCCTTTCAAACCCCTTCCCTTTGGCCAGGAGGATTGATTTATTAAAAAAAAAAACAAGCTATGTGCAGTTCAGCAGTCCCTTACTGCTGCTCCCTGGGCTCTGTAATCCTTCTTGATACTACTCAGACTGTTCCTGGCTGTATCACTGGTGCCCACATGAAGCAACATCAGCAGATAATAGTCAGTGGGCTGTACAAAACTTAGTAGTTTCTCAGTGACAATCCTGATATGAGCCCTCAGTAAGCAGTACACCCCTGTAGAGAGTGTGCTAGGTCAGTAAATGGGTGCCTCCATACCTCTCAGAAGGGAATCATGTACTACTACCACCAATCGACTTCTCTTAGCTGTGCTGGTTGTTACTTGGGGTGCAGGTCAGGCTGGCTTACTCAGCTTCAGCACCTGTCCTCATGTGATGGGTCTTTCCTCTTCAGTCTGCAGATAGGTGAAGGGGTTCTTCAAGGACACCTCACGCTTCAGGGTAAGTCTCTTCCTCCTGATGGTCCTTGGCATTGCAAGCTTCCATTCTTCTGCATTACTGGCCTCACTCCCTTCTAAGTGTGC